GTACGCTAAAAAAAGGTAGGGAAAGAGAGGGGCTCATTCCTTTTGAGGAGGTCTGGTCTTAAACGCAAACGCAAGTAAAATGGTCCACGCATACACACACAAGGGGCCCCCTCTTTTCTTTCCACCGACTAACTTTGCTCGCTTTATATATGAGAACCAAAAGAAAGGAGAAAAAACAAAAAACTACAAAACCAAACAGAAATCTTAAACTGACCATAAAAACTGCAAACACAAAATAATATTTGCATTTTGAAGTTGTTATTTTCTTCACTTGCAAAACAGAAAAAGTTTTAGTCAATAATAAAAATAAAAGGATGTATGCATTGAAAGAAAAAGTCTCAAATCAACTATCTCGTCTCTTTACAGATTCACCGAATTCTTCTTCCCCTGATAATTCTCAGGTAATTTAACCTTCTTTTTAAGATTGCTTGCTTTTATTACTATTGTTTTGATTGGTTTTCTTCTTTCTTTTTTTTTTTTTTTTTTTTTTGTAGAATTTTAGATCTGGTTGCTTTTATACAATGTAGCTGGGCACTTGAATTGCTCTTGTTGATTTGATTGTTTCAGTTGGATGTTGAATGCTTCAACATCTTGGACAAACAAAGGAATTCAGATTTGGTTTTAGATTTTTATGAATGCTCTTTTTGGTGCTGGCTGGATGCATCGTTTGGTAGCTGGGAAAATATAACCAAAAAAAAAACCTGAAAACTCGGTTTGGTAGCTTAGAAGTAGGGAAAAAGAAACATGGGTTCTTTTACTTTAATTGTTTGGACTAGAGAAAATCAAAACTTTGTTGAGACCAACTCCTATAACTTTAAATTTTTATGGATTTTATAATCCACTTGATTTTATGTTTTCTAAGGAGAAGGTAATGGCTTTGTTTCTGCGTTCTTTATGCTGTTTTAATTTTTATTGGTAATGTTTGTGATGAAAAGATATTTGAATGTGTAGGCCAGACCGTGCTCTAAAGGGGAAAAATCATCTTCATATTTTCCCTTCGTAATCCCTTCACTAAGCTTTGTTGGGTCTAGATCAAAAAAGCACCAAGATGATTTAAAACCAATTCAATCGCTTCCTGTTAGATGGAAGAGTGAAGATCTTGAACAGCGAGAAGAATGCTCGGTTAGGTATCATGAATGCAGCACAATATGGGAGAGCGAGGAATTCCAAAAATCTTGTGAAGACTATAAAGAATACAGTGCAGATTACGAAAACAAGCAAAAGGTTAAAAGTCACGATGGTAATGATGATGGTGTCCCTGCAAGGAGCAGTAGTGATAGTGATTTATTCGAAGAAACACATGATCAGACTCCGCAAAAGCCTTTTCCCTATCTCATGGATGAATCCACTCTTATTTCCTCAGAGCTGTATGAGTTTTTGCTCTCATCACTTCCTAATATTGTGAAGGGATGCCAGTGGATCTTGCTGTATAGGTAAGTTTTGCTGATAAATCTGTAGCCTTTAGTGCAGCTGCACTTTTGCTCTTCCATTTGGATCTTGATTTTTTGTCGGTGATTTGAAATGAAGGGCAGTACTTTGAAGCATGGCATATCACTTCACACACTTGTTCGCAAGAGTGCTGCTGCTTCTGGTCCCTGTTTGCTGGTATGTCATTGCTATGTTCTGACAAATTCCATATATTAAGGGTTCATCATTTTAACTGTTTTTCAACTAGTTTAAACTTGTTTTCTGCTACTTACAGATAACCGGCGATAGACAAGGTGCTGTGTTTGGTGGTCTGCTAGAATGTCCTTTGAAACCTACCGTGAAGAGAAAATATCAAGTAACTTTGTCTTGACTGTATTTATGTACACTTTAGATGTTCGGGTGTTGTCTTTGCTGCACATTCAACTTTCAAACAATTTATTGAACGCACTTACCATTTCCCCTTTTTTTTTTTTTTTGACAGGGGACAAACCAATCATTTGTATTTACAACCATTTATGGTGAACCAAGGCTGTTTAGACCAACTGGTGAGCACTTCTACATGCTTCATTTCTTTCCAGATAACGGAAATAACAACTTCATTGTACACACATCTAGTGACTTGATAAATAAGACTGGTATCGTGTTCCAGCTATCATCAACATACATGTTTCGTTAGTTCATATATACATTGATGAATTTATCAGTTTCCTACAAACAGAATTGAGGTAACTTTGTGCTGATATGTTAATAATTGCCATTCTTAAAGCCAGTGTATGCTGGGAAACACACGCATGGTCGGGTATTCTTATGTAACCAAAAAAAAAAAAAATCATGCTCTTTAGACATCTGTGTTTTTGCAATGACACTGGTACTAGTATCCGTATCCTCTGTGTAAATATTAAGAAAGGATCTGTTGAATGATAGTTATTTAGGTGACATCAAGAATTAAAGCCTGATATTTTCAAGCTTCCTAAGTAGTTTGTCTTGTAATCAGCCAGGACTTGGGATCAAATTAAAACAACGACAGTGATGAGAACACCTTGAAGTCTGCCATCTGCAGCCCTTATTTTTGCTAATGCAAAACATAATAAATCAATTGTACGACTTCTAAATCCAATGGAAATTATAAATGGTTGCTTTCTTGATGGATAGAAAGCTGCTGTTTGAGAATTTGACATACAATTTTACAGTTTTAGTTTTCTCAAACATGAGTGTTAGCAATCTTTTGTTTCAGAGAGATGCCGTTAACTATAGATTTGAAAAGCCACAAAATTTAAGTTGATCTCACGGTTCATTTATGTAAATAGGTGCCAACAGATATTACTACTTGTGCTTGAATGACACACTAGCGCTTGGTGGTGGCGGCAACTATGCTTTGTGCTTGGATGAAGATCTGTAAGTTGCCTGTTCAACTAATTCCTGTTTGAAATACTCTCCATTTGATACAATATTCTTAGTAGTATTTGTTTCTTGGTTCAATCTTTCTTTTTCTTTGTCTTGGAAAAGGTTGAATGGAACTAGTGGACCGTGCGAAACATTTGGGAACTTGTGCCTGGCCCATAACTCAGAGTTTGAGTTAAAAGACGTTGAGGTAATCTAACTGTTTTTTTAACTGTCCTTGATAACTTTGGCAACTTTTGTTCCATTCTGTTAATGTGAAGTCTGAACAGTATCAGTGTTAAGACTGTCTCCATCATGACATGGTTTGCAAGTGAATAATTAAAATATAAGGCTTCTATCTTGGCAATTTCACTAAAAGAAAACCACTGAATCCCATCTGCTCCTCATCTTGTTTCACTCTTCATTGTTATGCTTTTTACCTTTTTTATTCTATATTTTCTCTTAAAAAAACTTTAGGGAGTTTGGACTTTGTACTTTATTTTTGTGCACTGTTGCCATATTTGGGCCTGCATTAGCTCTATGGATGGTGTTGGTGTTGGGGTAGTTGACAGTAAGTTTGGTTTAATTAATCGAGAGCACTGATCTTAGATCTCCTAGGATAACACATTGTTGTTGTCGCACAATTTCAGACTACACAAACATTATTTCATGCTTTAGTTGTGACATGGTGTTACATTCTGTTATGGTAATTCTATCCAATTAGCTTACACTGAAAAAGGAAAAGTAATTGACTAGTGAATTTGTAAATCTATGTAGGTTTTTTAAAATGAAATGGAGAAGGATCCAGGAAAATGAAAATCCTGTCTCCTTTACTTCCCTTCCAAATATATATCCCATGGTCTTTTTGAATTGAGGAAGGAAAGAACAGACTAGATGAACAAATTCCTAAATCACAGTAATATAAGAATTTATGTGTCTACGGAGCTTACAACGTTGTATGCGTTTCCATAATTGGTTGACCAGGATAGCTGAGCAGGTGTGATCAGAGTTGGATAAACAACTTTTGTTCTCAGAAGCATCTATTGACAAATTTTAAGCATCATAGGAATAGCTACCTTCTCAACTTTTGAGATTTTCTCTCTTTATGATGATGACATATTCTTTTGCAGCTTTGGGGATTCACACATTCTTCAAAATACCTTAACTGATGCCAGGCAGGCTGTGGAAGCTTCTTATTTTGTCGTCTTAATTAGTTTGTGATCTCATTCTTTATTCTTTGGAAGATGCAGTACTCAATTTTATGCAGAATTGACTCTGGTAAAATTTGAAGTTTGAATCCTGATGCTCAAGTTGTAATTTCTGTGAATAAAGAATGGTAATCCGGTCTCCAGACTTGACACCGTTTCCTCAAATACATTGTAATCTGTACATATATCTTGCTAGTTAAGAGTGGGCACCAAGAAGCAAGAGAGTAATTTTCAATTACTTCGAAAGCTTTTATTTATTTACACTTGTCTAAAACGCTATCAAGGGGAATGTCTCTCAACGGTTATTTTTTTCAAAATTTCAACTCGGACATCGTTGACTGGTATATTGAGATGGAAATGGAGAGATTCTGTAGGATGGAGTTGTGCGACCTAAAATCAGAATGAAATGGTTTGGCCACTTTAGATCACAAAAACCCTTTGCATAATTGTGTTGAGATGTTTCTTGTGCCAGTGACTAGAGCTCATTCTCATTTTAATATGAATCATTAGGAGCTCTGCTAATTCTAGCTACAATATTAGAGCTGCTTATAACATCAAAGTTATGGTTCTTAATCGTACCAAGCTGTCACAACTCAACTCAACCGATTAGCATGACCATTGCAATCACATAAAACTACATTTTACTACAGTAATAAAATACACTCAAAAGGTTATTATCCCTTAAAGACACTCAACTATTATCAAGTATCCTCCAATACAGAGCACCTCACTGCAGATTAACAGCAAGATCTCTTTCTTGAAGTTCCAATGATAACGTAAATACAAAATGACTGGCCGTAGTTGGTCAAATTTAAGTTCTTTAATCTCAGGACAACCACCCTGCCAAAGCATATTCCAGATCTGAAAATTGCATGAAGTGTTGGCACTGCATCACTAAACAAGTTCTTTCGTTTTGCTCCACCAGCCCAACAACTGCAGAAATCCAAGTGATCAACCTCCTGAATCAGTCAATTTAAATGTGCATTATGACTCCGATGGAGCTACATCCCCGGGTAGGGCAAATATCCGGAGGTTACGATCCATTGATCCTACAGCTAAGTAATTTGCATCAGGACCAAATTTTACACAAGTTGCTCTTCCTGCAACCAAGGAGAATAAAAGAGCCTTTGTCAGTCCCTCCAACAAAGTTGGTAGCAACAAACAATAATAGACAAGAAAAAAGAGAAACCTGTGCCAGACAAATCAGGAAGCGTTTTGATACAATTCCAGTCTGCTTTGACACTGCCAACTTGGTAAACTCTGCGCAAGTATAAGACACAAATTAGATGGGAAAAATGTTCAAGAATTTACAGGGTATATCAAAAAATGAAAAGGTAATAGCTCTTCCAACAAGACTTAAAAGAATATTCTTGCAACAAAGAAACAAATTTATTAGCATTATCAGAAAAACTTCTGCACAACCCAGAAAATTTTGTGAATAGGCAAGAAAGCAGAGCTGGAATCCAACTTCACACAAACAAATTCTTATAGCCTATTGAAAACAACAAGATATTTGAAGATCTACAAGAGCCTGCACCTTATATCTGATCCTGCAATTCCAAGGTAAGATCCACTGTGGTCGAATTCCACTGCAATAATAAAAAGAAAAACACCATCACATTTCCCGCAGAAAAAAAAAAGAAATGCATTTGTAATTGAACAAGATTGCCCAACCTGAGAACTTAAGAGCGCACTTAAAGACGACAAAAGGCTTAAAAAATAAAAAAGAAAAGAAGAAAGAAAGACATCCCCATAGCCAAGCTTGACACTTACAAACCCTTTACTGACAGTATTCAGCATAAGGAAATATGACTTGTCAGGTAATTGCAAGCTGACAAAAGGGGAACCATACAAGATCGATACTCATACAAATAATTGCTGTCAAGATGTTGCCACTAGCCATGAAATTGCCCGACACACACAAATATACATAGGGAAAACATCACCACAGTAATACACACCAGAGTTTGTAGGTGTATCAGAATCATATAGATTAAGTGTCCGGAAGTTTTTCAATTTCCGCAGATCCCAGAGCTTAACACTATCATGGGCAGCAGTCTGTACAGAACAAACATTAAATCAGATCATAGCATATCAGATTATCGTCCTTCACTGCATGTTTCGTTCGGAACAAAGATACTTACAGCCAGAAAGTATCCATTTTCTGAGAAAGATATCGCTGTCACTGGACCAACATGACCTTCAAATTTTGCAACATTAGCCTGTATGAACAAAGAATGCAAAAAAAGTAAAACTTCAAAATTTTTAAATTGAATCAACAGGTGAAGGAGCTGTTTTGTGCACGTCTGCCTTGTACATGCTGCACTCTGAAAAAGCAATAAACCCAACAATTTTGATAGTGGTACGTGTACCTGACTTTTTACATCCCAAATTTTAACAACTGCTTCTGAAGTGCCTGTTCCAAGGATGAGCCCATCGGGATGGAAGGCGGCAGATGTATAGCCATCGGTTGTGGAAGTGTCAGCAACCTGCAAAATTAAGCATCATGATATAGTTTGTCTGCAACCAGACCCAATAGAAACAAGGGAATTTAACATGAAAATTGAATACCATAATACAGAAAAAAAAATTCACCAGAGTCGTACAATACAAAAAACATACTCCATCCACTTTTTAAGTCTCATCTTAGTGCCTCTTTAAATATGCCTCTTCTGAGGCTTTGAACATGTAAAAAAGGCAATCATAAAAGAAGAATAACGGGTGGTTGAACATTAATCGCTTGTTAACTTTTCAACTTTGACAAATATTATGGCAAAATAATAGTAGTAGTAATAATAATAATAATAATAATAAAATGAAATAGACCACTAACATGTGATAGATGGATTCAATTCTTTGAATTTAGATAAATTGTTAAAGGTCATGCTCCTGAACTTATATCAAATGAAACACAATAACCACTCACCAAAGCAAAAATCTCAGATCAGGTGATCAATTTTTATATTTTGGCATTTAACTTGCAGTTTCGTACATATTTCAGAATGTGAAAAAATTGAAAGGAATAACTTTTGTGAATGTGTGCAAGAGATATGCGAGCACACACACACACAAGAAACAGAGAGTGAGAGATGACCTGAGTCATGCACAAACCAGAGGAGAGATCATAGAAGCACCATGTATTGTCAAGAGAAGCAGTCTCACACACACACACACAAGAAACAGAGAGTGAGAGATGACCTGAGTCATGCACAAACCAGAGGAGAGATCATAGAAGCACCATGTATTGTCAAGAGAAGCAGTCACGAAGTAGTTATTTGTGGCATGAACAGTGACAGCTTGCACCTGACAGTTTGTAAGCATATCAATATTATGTAATAAAAATGGCACAAAATCACTACAATACCACAATCAAACTGAGCAAGTATTCACATACCAAGAAGCATGCAAATACTTAAAAGTGTTTTTAATCGGCACAATCTGGTTAAGGAACAGCACTGCCTTCTAGTAAAGGCAGATGATTTTCCTCTATATAAGTTGATTGATCTCAGAATGATTCAGTTATAGGTCAATGATTTTAAACTACCTGTGAACATCTGATTTAAACATGCTGAAAATATTTTAAATAAAGAGTTATTTGTTTCACCACTGCTTGCAATTTTCATTCAGTGTACAAGACATGCATGAAACATAGTACATGACTCGAAATTTTGCTTGGGTCAAAGGCCTTAAGCTCTCACATTAGGGAATCCCCTTTGAGCTCCCCTCAAATGCAGGCATGTAAAACAATCATCCTGAGTCCCCTCGTCAAAAACAAGAAGAAGAAGCATGCATGAAAAAAGGCATTTACTTGATGCTTACCCAAATTCAGCTACAAAGCACAGGCTTCAAAAGCTATTTAAAATAAGCCTAAAATTGCTCCATTAAAGGTTATCTATCTTCTATCCTATTTAACGTAAACTTAAGCATTGCACTTCATTAAAACAAGTGCCATCTAGAAAGTGCCAAGATTTATTAAAACAGAAGCATCTATGGAACTTATATCCACAAGATCAGGCTAATGATCAACCACTGGTTAAGAAACAAGACCAATGTGGGGCGAAAGGCAATTACCTCTGCAGTATGATCCTTCAGGATGTGTCTGCAATCATAGTTTCCATCTTCAGATCCTTGCCACACACGCACTGTCTGCAGCATTTTAGAAATAAATTAAATCCCGGATGAAGGCCTAGGAACACTAAATTAAACACAGATACTAGTGGATGAGAAGATCCAAACGCTAGAGATTCAGGTCTTTAACGGGTGAAAGAAATGGAAAAGGCAACAAATAGAAGAAGAGCAATAGGCTCATCCGAAAAGTCCAGTATTATCATGAGGTAAACAGTAAGATTCATAATAGCTCCACATGGAAAAAGATCACAGTGCGAATTGTTTCACAATTTAATCCTTTACTAAATAAAATTCAAGAACATGATGCCTGCGACCTCATTCGTGGGAGGCAATGCCAACACATCTGATTCCACACCCACAATTGCTTCCACATCCATTACTGCTAAATGTTACTAAATACATTCGCATGGTCCTTTTTTTTTTTTTTTAAAGAATCCTGAACAGTGCTTCCCTGTAATTACAAAATGATTAGGTTTGCAAAGATCTAAATCCTTTCAGTTCAGGCTGAGAGACTATTCGAACAGATAACTGTCCTCCAGCCAGCCTTCAATTACATATTGATTTCTAAACTAGGTGCACAAAAAATACTCTTGTAGTAAATATTGTCTCAATCAGTGTTGTCTTGTTGGCTGCAGCAATAGAAAAATGTTGTCAAAGAGGCAGCAGATTGTCAAGTTGGATTTAAAGTTTAAATTTTATATGGTCAAGTTCTCCCTTCCAACTTTTGCAAAGAAAAAGAGCGAGAGCAACAGCAACAAATCAGTTCCTTAAAGATGATTATGACACCCAAGCCAAATGGTTTCAATTCTCTTCTACTCCCACTGTTCCATTTTTAATGCCTATATCCATACATTTTAGAAACTGCATAGTTCTATAAATTAATAGTTATGTTGAATGCTTTTGTTTCTCATAAAAGGCACGATATTTTAGGTTGTGTAATTCATAGACTACAATTGACGGGTCAACAAATAATTTGGGACACACTAGAATGGAATGGTAGGAAATAAAGATGAGATAATAGGAGCAATGTTCTATGTGGGTTTGCCACGCTTCCTTGAACCAGGTAGCATAAAGCTGGTTCAGTCTATGATTAAAAAAGCATTCAGCAAAATGGGGGGAAAAGACCATAACAGTAAACAAGAACTTTTACACCCACCAAACTTAACAGTATTTACCTTATCTGCTGACCCGGTTAAGAAAAAATCACCCTCAGATACAAATTTCACACTGGTAACCTACAATAAAAGCAATGTTATCAGTTATAAGTTTCACTTAACAGCAGAAGTGCAGCAATAAACAAAGTAAAGTAACAACCTTCTTTGAGTGACCGCTGAGTGTAGATACAATCTGCCCTGATGGCCGATCAAAGATTACAGCAGTTGCATCAACCCCTCCAGTAGCAATGATATCCTGAAGAAGAGAAAGAAAAGGCACATCAACCACTACAAATCAGCAATTGAATAAAGCAATCTGGCCAATTAATTTTAGTTATGCCACCACAAGAAATCTAAAAATTGTTATGACCATAGATAACAATTAGGTGATGTAAACTTGAAACAAGCTCCTATCATCCACTCCCAACATAAGATACGGAATGTTATTAGAAGAGCCAAAACAAAGCAAATCCCTATGTTTGATAATTTAATGAAGAAAACCCTCAGCATGCCAAAGGCATGAACACTAGCATGGAAAAAGAGATGGGAGAAGCTTTCCTAGAAAACATGTTTAAGCCACCTCCATTGAACCACTTCAATATTTCATAATTGCATGCATTAATCTCTCCACTTAATGATTTATCTTGTAACTTTCATCAATCATTTCTTATAAGCTGCAGTTTTGGGGAAATTTGCAACATCATAATCAAATATGCTACAAACAGCAATTTTTGTAATATTATATTCAAGAATAGAACAAGAGCAACACAACTGCAACTGCAGCAAACTAAATTGTAAGTGGCCTAAATTTGACATACGGATGAATAGTTACACAAAACCAGGACATTTGCCACAACATTGAGAATACAGAACAGCACATGCCTCAATGCAGCTTGAAAATATTTGTTTGCAAAAAATCTTCTGAACTGGTAAACTCATCAAATAGATCAAATTAAACAAATCTTCTTACCTTGGAATATTGAATATCAATGGATAAGATGCCTGGCTTGCTAGTTTTGTGAAGCGGATGGCTAGAAAGTTGGGTGTACCTCTCTAGAGCACCAATAGGAGCCAATGTTGGAGGAATCTAACCATGAAAAGTGGAAGAGAAAGATGCACATCAGATCAGTCAAGCAGTGAATATAAAAGAAGAGGCTTTAACTTCATTCATTTCTTGTGTTCTTAAATAAATCTCGCAAAGAGATATGATTTGAGAAATTAGTCACACTCACAATCTATAAATAAAAATTTAGTAGTCCTAATGAATTGTTACCTGCCGCTTTTTCCGCTGTTGCGAAAGAGCTGCATTACAGTCTGTAAGCTCAGTAATGACGCTAACAGAAATTCCAGGTCGTACTCTCTTTCCAGGTTGGCCCAAATCATCATCCTCAGCAGCTATGATGGTATCAACAAAAATGATGTATTGATAACCAACTTTAGAAAACCAAAAAAAAAAAAAAAAAATTAGCATACAAAAGAAAAACCTCGTTTTCCATTGCTAAGAACTGAAGCATTTGCAGTAACAGCTTCTGATGCAAACATGGGTATCTGCCTCTCGGCTTGTGCAAGCAATGACCTTGCTTCATCTCTTTCCTTTTAAGTCTTGCAATTACACGGCAAGCAGCATCATGCTGCCAAAATAAGAAACAATACAACCAAAGTCCATGTGTTGGATCAGTACAGTATGCAAAGGATAATATCAATAATCCAACATACAATGTTTTTTCTACCAATGAAAAACAAAGTCTGAGACAAAAGAGAAACTATAAATAGCATAAAAACTTTAGAATTGAACCTATACAGCTAGAATATGGATATTAGGATTGAGCCAGTCCCAAAGCTAGAATATGGTTTAACAAAAAATTGAAAATAAAATTTCAAATCTTCTTAGAACTTCAAGGGTCTTAGATGACAACATTATGCAAACAGTTGGTGTGCAGAAATTTCTATAGTTCAAAATCCTTTTCAGAAAGGAGAAAGTTCCAAATTTTGAAACTTGACCATTTTACCACAACAACAGATATCTCACTGAAATCAGCTTTCATGTTAACAAAGAATGTTATAACTTTCTTATCAGAGAAGAATGAGAGAACTCCATTTGAGTAAAAATCGTTATCAAGTCGACACTGCATCAGTAAGGACAATGATGCACTGTTAATATCACAAAAACCACCAATTAAGGGTTCATGGTCACAGTGAAGATGAAACAATGAAGGCCAAATTAAAAAAAAAAAAAAATTAGTAAACTAAACAAGAATAGAATGAAGGCAAGTACAAAGTAAGCAGTAGTTATGTTAAAACAATGCTCAAATAACAAAAATAAAATAATAGATGGAGAAATGTAACAGCGTTCATAGTCTGCATAAATGGAAGGATGATATACCATACATGCCCTACCAGAAGCAGAGCATATTTGCAAGCATATAATGATGAGGCCATTACCTGGTATAATGCATGACTTAGCTCTTGCCTTGCTGTATGTAATTGTTGCTCCAATGCAAAGTTGGACAACATTAGGCCATCCCATTCCTGCAATCAGATCAACAATGACTTTACAAGCAAAATCAAATGCAAAAATATTAGTAGAATAGCTCAATTAAGGGTGGCTTACACAAGCCATTATAATAATTAGCACTTGTTAATGAACAGGTTGAAGGCACTAAATGATTGCCTGTGAAAATTTTGTCATCTAAATATAGAGGAGATGACAAAATCCAAGTGTTAAAATCCTTTTTTAAACTTTTGACAGAAACACATCTATTCCAAATCAAGATTTCTAGTCTCAGCTGCAGTGAACATTATCGCACAATTTACTAATCTTAGTTAAAACAAATTCAACGAGAACAAATATGGAAGTTGCACATGGATGAACTCCAGGGAAGCTTTACAGCTAGGAAGTATAGCAATTGCTAACAGAGATCCAGAATGCAAAATATCTATACTATAAAGGATAAAGAGCATAAATATTAATAGAATCAGGGCTAGAGGCTTTTCAACATCATAGCAATAATTCAAGGATAACTTGATCGAGGCAAGCATCACTCTCATATATATTACCGAGTAAAAGAGTTATTTATTTGCAGCTTTATATCTCGTAAAAAGTGAAGCAATACCGGTACAAGAGTATACAGTTTACAGTAACACATATCTTAACACAGCACCATATTATCAAGTAAAGCTAGAAATTAGAAAGTGGACAAAGAGGGTAGCATGTGGAATGATACACATACATTCTGGAACATTCCAAGCATCCCAGGGATGCTAGCGGTCTGTGCAGTTCTCGGCTTCACAGTCTACAAGAAAAGCCAAAAAAACTAATAAAGTCTAGAAATGGTTAATACTGCAACAGTGGGATATAAAAGACTCCAATATCCATTGAAACAAAGAACCAGAAATAAACATACTTTGCCTGTTTTGACTGGAACAACATCATCCATGGTAAGTGGTTCCCCAGTAATTGGGCATTTTCCATATTCCTGATTAGAAAATAAACAACAATGCAAAGTTTATCAAACGTAATGCCAAATTTCCTGACAAGAAACTTTATAGATCAATGCAGTTCAAAGTGAAGCTCGATTTTCTAGGTTTGTCGAACAAAAGACAACCACAGGCGCAAAAGTATGCCTGCGTCACTTCATTGTACATGGTACTTGTTCTTGCACATTTGAAAAGAGTTAGAAAGACATGAAAACTTGACTTTCCTACATAAATCGGGGCTAGTTTTATTGCCAACTCAATGTCGCAAGCCTCACCTTTGCAAATTATACTACTTCCTCAGTAATCACACAAAATAACCAAAACAAGTAGCTTCTATAATTTTATTAATAACACTTCTAAAATATACCATCTCATTCATTCATTCAAGCCGCCAAAAAATATTAAAATTTATCTTTCTCCACCTATACTCTAAGACGCCAAAAATCAAAACCCTAACGAGCTAGAAGATAAAACCCTAAAATTGAAAAGAAATCTTAAAGAGTAAAGAAAAAGGTATACCGATATGTGTCTCTCGATTAAGCGCTTCTCATATAAAAGCCCAGACTTCTTCGAGACAACGGGCTCTTCCGGCACCTCGCCGGAAACTGTCCAGAAAAAACAAATAAAGCAGAGATCGATAAGAAACCACAAAAGATAAAAAGGAAAAAAAAAGTTGTAAAGAAAGAGAGAGAGTTACTCGAGCAATGCATTGTAGAGAAAGAGAGAGAGAGAGAGAGAGAGAGGGGGGTTAGGGTTTATCTGGCTACTGGGTCGAGCTGCAGCTAAACTAACTAAATGGAATGATTATTAGGTGCAAAATTGATGAGCAGCAATCGCAGCAGCAGAGGAAAGAGGCACAACTTCAGTTGCTAGGGGACTAATATCTATTTTGTGTATTAGGGATAGAAGACCCGACCGATCCAAGTGGAGAGGAGTGGGCTTTTTGACCCATGAATGGGTATCCTTGTGGGCTCATATAATTTTTCAACCCATTTACTGTTTTATGGGCTGGACTTAATTATTTTTATAGCTGTACTGGATTAGGTGATTTGGAAATTATTATATTTACGTTAGTCTTCATTTTGCTGCAATTAAAAAGAAAAGTGTACAATTATATATCGGTTGTATTTTTAAAATTGTGTCGGAAAAAAAAATTGCTCCTAATGATCATATCTTTTGTCTATTGGCTGTATAGTCTTTGACTGATGTAGTATACCTAATTTATCTAAAATGTCTCCATCCAATTATTTTGTTGCCAAAATCGCCCTTTTACCCCTCGTGTTTGTGGCTATCGGGTCGAGCTACCCTTTATTTTTTCATACTTGGCAGATTTACGCCAAAAATGTTAGTCAATTTACCACCACTTAATTGCACTTTTTTTTTTTTTTTTTTTTACAAATAGGGATTGAATTGAAATTTTTATAAAAAGGTCCTCTTTCGCTCATTGTATCGTCTAATGCTCACCTCTGACTCACCACCACTCCAATCCAAACACCAAATCACCCCAAGCAACCAAAACAATCACTTAATAAATTTTTTTTTTCCTGGAAGGGTTTAGGCAACTGAAAAAATAAGTAAACTAGGTAAATGAAAATCTTAAATATTTAGTTTGGTTGTTGACCATTACCTTTCATCAACTTTCACAGAATTGTCATCCGGAAATTAATGTGCTATGCCTTAGCTAGGGGGGACTAATCGAAGAATAACCAAGTATTGCTCTTTAATTACTTTCCATTGCAACAAGAAGAATAACCAACCAAATTGGTGTCACCCTGAAAGGTAGTAGGATTAATTATTCCAAGTCTTCAAAATTGGCATATATGGTCGGCATGCTAGGTAGAAAGATCCATCGTGATCAGCCTTTACAAAGATGGGACTTTGGTAAAACATTAATTAATTTGTGCGTGTTAATGATCTGTCATTCAACATGCATCTGTACCCTTTACACTTGCATCAGTCAAAAGAAGTAGTCTCGTTCCTATGAAAAGGTTCTGTTTAAAGTTGATGATATGTAGTTGTGGAGGACAAGATATGTGCAGATAGAAAGGAAATTTGCGTGATAGCTTGGTCGTGTCCTATTCGAGTAGATAGAGACACAAACTCCATATCTATGCCTATTCACAAACTTTATGTAGCTATATTAGGATGAGCATGCATCTTTAATTTGGAAAACACTCCCACCTGTGCATGTGCCAAATCACTTAAGTTCTGCAAATTTTAAGTTGAGACCTCCAAAGTAATTCAGATTTCGGTTGGTTCATTAATGATAAGCTAAGTATATTCCCTAACAATGTATTCCTGCTTGTAATTAATTTGAATATCAGACTCCTTAGAATTAATGCATTGCTTTAATTATGATTGGAACTTATAAAAGCACGTATCTCGGAAAAAAATATATATTACAAAATAGATATGGAAACATTGAATTAGATGCTATTGGTGTGTTATATACATACCCTCCTGTCACGAGTCATGGAAATGCTTTCGAAAGTCATTATGTGTGGAAAGGACCAGTTCCTCACTTGCCTGAAAGATTGATGTAATTGTAGATTCCGCGTTTAACTTTTAACCACACCGAATCGAATTTCTGCAAATTCTACGCAACGACTGGACATGGCCAGTCGTAGAATTATAGTTGGAATTGCTGAAAGTTTCGGAAATTGACAGATATGCTGAACGTTTTTTTCTAGTCTTTAACCATAGCAATTGACTTCAATTCATCCATTTCAATTACTGGCCACAATCCATCAGGGACAGAACTAGCTACTTAAGCATAGCCACAAGTTTAATTAGATGGAAATTAACAATTAGCTAGGTAGGTCATAGTTAAAGAGTGTAATCTTAGACATCTTGATAAATATAATCTTTTCATTTCAACTACAAGAAATCATCATCTGGCCACTATACCCCTTGTTCAATGTTGTTCCCTTCGGAATATCGGATAAATGCAGCCGTGTGAAAGTTGGTTTATCAATAAATATCCTTACTCCTACAAACCCCAACAATATCAGGAATATCATGTTTCGTCTTTCAAGACGTAACGTGCGGTAATCAGAGCGTAGCAGAACATAATTTCTGGTATAAAAAGTAAGCTGAATTTTCACTCCCCGGAAATTTCCACAGAACAAGGGAAACACCTACTTTAGTTCTATAGAAGTGAGGTAAATAGATGCTCTCTCTAGACAAGAATTTTACATTTCCAGGTGAGGAAAAAGTTAGCATAATAAGCTTTGTTGTCAAAACGAGTTAGGGAGGTGGAATGGAAACACAAGCATGAGGCATGCTGAAATGTTCTTTAATTGCAGCAAGGAAAGTGAGGGGATCCTGTGCTGTGCCTTCAAAAATTTGACCAAAAAGTAGGTTGTGCAAAGAGACCTAGCAGATAGATGATCTATTGATGGTCTGCCTTTTGTACTCGATTGGGAATCACAACGTACGAAAGTGGAGCTACCTAGTTTTGTTCTGCCTTACTTTGCTGAGCTCTCAAGCTTTCAGACTCCGACATATGTTGGTCTTAACCGTTACGCTTCCTGTATTAACTGCAGATATTTTACTTGTTTAAATCCTCAAAAAGAAAAGAATTAAAGAAAAAAAAACATTATATATATATATAATGATCAGGACAATGGGTCCCACGGTGCTAATGTTAACATAAGATACGTTAGCAAGTTTGCTAGCAACCAATGAGGTTGAAGCTCAATTTGCCCTCATATCCTCTCTCTCAACAGATGTTGAATTTGAGTTTTTTTGTAAGCAAAAAAAAAAAAAAAATATTAACATAGTAATTGTCATCAATATGTTAACCACTATATCAAAAAATACGCACATTAAAGATTTTTCTTTATATGCGTCTAATAAATAGTTATGTTGTTGGGAAAGTGACACTATAAGAAAATAGGTAATTAACTATGAATTTTAGCGACGGAATGTATTAGCTACTGAATAGCGATTAAATAACGATGAAAATGAAAATGTAACAATTTGTGATGGAACAGCGATGGATTTGTGATGGAAATGTGGTGACAAAAAAATTCCGTCGCTAAAGAACGCGGCAAAAATCGCAATAACTTCGGCGATAGAATTATGACAAACTAGCTAGGAAAATTAGCAATAGAATAGAAATTCCGTCACTAAAAAGCATCATTGGCATAATCCGTCGCTACTCGTCCCTAATAAGCAACATAATCGCCCCAAATGAAAATTTTTGAAAATTAGACGCTCATTTAAAATTTAAATTAATGACGGATGCTTACATTCGTCGCTAATTTGCGACGAGAATCGCATTCGTTCTCAAATCTTAAATCCTATAAATTTTTTCCCCTAATTTTTCTCCCTTTCCCTCTTCTCCTCTCCTACGATCTCCACCAACAACCCCACACCACCCCACTCCCTCCCTAGCCCACTCAATCCAGCGAGGCGTCCCTTTCGTCCAAAAACCACTACGACAGTCTCTCTCTCTCTCTCTCTCTCTCTTTTATTTTTTTGTTAATTAGATTAAATTTGTTAGTTGTTAGTTTGACTTTGTTAATTGTTAGTGTTAAATTAAATTTTATGTAATTGTTGTGGTAATTTAGATAAATTGGTTGATTAATTATTAGGTTAAATTTGATTAATTGTTAAGTTAAATTTTTGTTAATTAATTATTATTTTTTTATTTTTTTATTGTTTTGGTTAGTTATTAGTTTAATTTTGTTAATTTGTTAGTTGCTATTTTAAAATTTAATTAGCGTTTGAATTAGGATTAATGTATTTGATTATGATTAATTTAATTAAGTTAATTTGATTTAGGGTTAATTTAATTATGGTTATTTTTAGTGATTGATTGATTTTTAATATTAATTATAGTCCAATTGGTAAATTAATTGATATTTAAAATTAAATTTTCTCTTTGAATTAAATTAAAGCCATAACATTCAAAAAGTAACAAGAAACAAGCATTCCATCGGACCAAAAGCCATTTATAGACCTTAAAGCTCCATTAATTTATTTTATATGTAACTCTAGTACATGGTGCATAATAGTGCACAATCTGCTCATATTCAATATATATATATATATATATCCAAAATAAAATAAAATACATATCGAAAATAATACACCATAAATAATTACATATTTTCACTAATAATTTTATTAAGTTTTTTCTTTATTCTTATAATTCCATAGTAACAATCTAGCAATTAATGTGTTATTTGTGTATCCCAATTTCAAAAAATAAAAATAAAACAAGGCACAAGCATTTTTTTTTAATAAAGTTACACACGAAATCTTTTAAGCGACCATGCTCGATTACTCGTAACATAATTGATGATCTAGGCCCTTATATAAAAATATTTAGGCTCCATTAGCATATAAATAAACAAGTACTAGATTACCGATGTTGGGCTACAACCCTAGTCCATGTCCAACGTTAAATGTGGGCTTCACATAAGTATCTTATTACTTTAGAAATATAATTCATTTACCCTAATTTAATCAATCATTAATTAAGAATAAAAATCCTAAAATATGGTCAAAAACTTACATTTGAAAAATTCATTTAATTATTAAAATAAATTACCTTGGATTAAGCTAAACTAATTTGTGTCCTTAATTTTTCTCGAATTAACTACTAAAATTTGAAATTATTAAAAATATTCATTATAGATAAGAAATAATCAAATTGGCCTAATCTATTAAATTTCTAAATTTTTCCGTTTGGGGCCACCCACAAGCGACAAGATGGCTCTTTCCTTGATTTATGTGACCAGCATACAATATTAAGTGTTTTAAATTTTTAAATTTTATATATGCAAATATAATCTAAAAAATTATTTAATGTTATAATGTTATAATTATTTTGATTACGCAGGAGTGTCTTGACGATCTCATACGGGAAGCTATTGCGAAGCAACGAGCAAAAGGAATCCTAAAGCCACGGATGGACAAGAATGCCATATACATTGGGCACTATAAGGGAGAAGAAAAAGAGGTTATATGTTGTAGGCACACAAATGTCGTATTATCCGTCCTAGTTAGATGACGCCGACTCGCCCTTCGTGTCGTCGTATTATACCGATGACATTCCTCATAAGGAGATTCAAAGGTTGTATAAGGAGGCAATGTAAGAGATGTAGTCCAAACAAGACGATTGAAAAAATATTATCATGCGAGCAACAAAATGCCATACCGGAGGCTGCAGTCTTAGCATGAGTCGCTTACCTCGATGTTCAATAGGCTAGCGCGGATAGGTACGGGTTGCTTATAAATCCGCTCACCGACCAAGACTCCACCGCCCCTCCTACGAGCCCCAAAAAGAAAAGAGGGGATTAGATGATTAGAATAACAATCGGGAGTGACATTTTATTTTTTTATTTTTTTATGTACTAATGAATTTTTTTGTTAAAATTAATTTAAATTTAATTTATAATATTTAAATTTTCATAATATGTTATTTGTCCTAATTGTTAGTTATTGTCGAGAATATCACAAATTTAAAAACTAACAAAAAAATAAATTTATCAATTAAAAAAAATTAGTAAACTTAGAGATGGATTAGTGTTGGAATCAATGGATCAATGGATGAATGGTAAATTCCAATGCAAACTTAGCATTAACATGCCCTCTCTACTCCCCATCTAATGAGTGTGGACCTCATCAATTAGTAAGGAAAAAGGATAAAGCTCCTTTTACATGAGGTGCAGCATGTGGTGGCATTAAAGTGTTTAGAGGTAGAGGACGCAAAGGTTGTTAACACCTAATTTTTGGTGATATTTTGTTCATTTTCACTTTTATTTTTATTGAAAAAATACAAAAAAAAATGATAAACAAAAAAATGCCAAGCATATAAAAAATAATAATTGTAAAATAAAAAAATAAAAAAAATAAAAAATCAAATCAATAGAAACAATTAGGTTAGATTAATTCAAGAAATGGGGATAATTAAAAAAATAAAAAGGTTGAAAAAAAAGACAATTAAGGGCCCGATTAGAAAAATTCAAAAAACTTCAGTTCCTTATTTAAATTAAAGAAGAGTACAATTGGAACAAATTAAAAAGAAAGCTATAATTAATTGAAATTTAAGGGTTCAATCAAAACAAAAACCAAAAGCAAACTTAAATTGATGGATTGAAGAGAATTGGGGACCAAATTAAAATTTTCACAAAAAAACCTAAAAAACATCGATAAAAGATCCTAGCCAACTACCTAGCTCCACATATTCTAAACGAGACCTTCATCGCCTTTTTCTCGCTCGACCTCGTACGACCAACTAACCTAACACTCTCCACTCCAGTTCTCCACCTTACACCTCTTGCACAATGGCCCCATAGTAGGCCTCTTTCGTTGTAGTAGACAACTCTCTTGCCATTCCCCGTGTACCTAGGTCGTAGTAAAAAGACCTCCATCGACCTCCTCACGCACCAAGCTTGCAACGGATAGTAATAGCCCTCTTCATATGCAACATAGCCCTATAGTAGCCCTTCGCTAGCTAACA